GTCAGATCCGATACTAACTCTATATGCACAGCTTTGGTTACCATGCATATAAAAATAGCAATGTACGCCTTACAAGTCTTAATTCCTCTTCCTTTGTTGATTTTCACATCAACTTGACCCGTATAGTCCACACCCTTGTTCGTGAACGGTCTTGATGGTGTTACACGCTCCTTGGGTAGGTCTGCCATCAGCTGGATGTTTCGATTTGGTTTGAAGCGATGACATCGAAGGCATTGTCGCAGTTCCCTTTTGACTGTTCTACTACCCCCAATGACCCAAAACTTCTGACGTAAATGAGCCAAAGTGAGCCGGGCGCCTCCGTGGAGAGTGTCGCGATGAGAGTCTCTGATAATAAGCTCCGTCAATCTGCCTGTGGCCGGAAGAATGATCGGATGTTTCGCATCGGGCGATAATGTTGAATAGCCTAATCGCCCTCTCACACGCAGTATGCCACTGTTGTCAAGGAATGGGGATAACTTGAGTAAACTGCTTTTTGTGGATATTGATCGATTTTTCTTTAAACAATCAATTTCGTTGCCATAGTATCCGTTTTGCGTGTTTTTGATGATTAATTCTGTTGCTCTCATAATGTCTTCTGGTGATAAACACTTAAACACCTCGTTGTTAGCGCGCTCGTCTAATTTATTCTTTGAGTTCAGTGAGCGCCTTTGTTTACCAATGTTGCTTAGTCGTAAAATCCAACCCAGCACTCGTATTACACGTTTATAATTACTGTTTCGATTCAGTAATGTATCAATTACTTGACAACTGTTGTATGTTATTGCACAGCAGTTTGCCTTTTTCAACTCAGTTTCTGTTGTGTAGGTCATGAGCTTTTCTTGATGAATATTGCTAGCGCTTAGCCAATCTGGTCCATTCCACCAAAGCTTAAAGTGTAGGAGCTGAGCGGGTGTGAGCCCTCTAGTTGCACAGTCAGCAGGATTCTCTTCTGACTTGACGTGGTGCCAGCAGTTTGCTGGTATAATTTTGTTTATCTGTGCCACTCTGTTTGCTACATATTTCTCCCATCGATTTGTATCGCCCTGCAACCAGGCTAAAGCGACCTTTGAGTCACTCCAGCAAGTGAAGTTAAGTTCTTTTGTGGAGAGAGTATTTTGTACCTTCTCTAGCAATCTGGCTAGCAACAGCGCCCCGCATAGTTCCATCCTCGGTATTGATATTTTATTGCTGATCGGTGCAACCTTTGTTTTTGCAGTAATCAAAGTCGTTTTATAATCGCCCGCTTGATTTCTTACACGACTATAAATGACACAAGCGTACGCCTTTTCGCTAGCGTCGCAAAACCCATGTATCTCTAGGTTATTTTCTTGCGATTGTAACCATCGTGGTATGGAAAGTTTGTTTAGCAGTGGGATGTCTTTTCTCATGGCTTCCCATTCCATAGCAAGATCTTGGGGTAAGCGTTCATCCCAGTCGATTTTGCTAATCCAGATTTTTTGAAATAGAAGTTTCGTTTTTATTGTGAGTGGCGAAAGTAACCCCAGTGGGTCATATAGCTTGCTTATTTCACTCAGTAGCGCGCGTTTTGTCAGTTTCTCTTGGATTGGTAGATCCCATTG